GGTGTTGGAGCACCGACAAGTTTATTGGCGACCCACTCTTGTCGATTTGCTTGACATAAAAGGTGCCTTCGATTCAGTCGATCGATGTGCTCTTCGGACTGTCTGCTGAGAAAAGGTGTACCTGATAAATACGTAAACATTATCAAAGCGCTGTACGCGCATAGTTCGGGCAGAGTGAGGGTTTATGGCAATCTGTCGCCACCCTTCAGTATCACCAACGGTGTGAGATAAGGTTGCACGTTGTCACCTTTCCTCTTTAACTTCGCAGTTGACGAATTCATGATAAAAAACATTCGCTGGACACGAACTAGAACGGGTGGAGTTACTTCTTGGTGAGCAAGTTCTTGACTCAGAGTATGCGGACGATATTGCCCTCAACTGGGACAACGCCCAAACGTGCCAAGCAGCCCTGGATCGATTAGCACTTGCTATCTATCGTTTTCGGCAATGCCTTTCTCCATCGAATTGCAAAGTAATTCTTCAAGATTGGCAGACACAACCCTGCACTAACGCTTCGTGGTGATTTGCTAGAAGTCGTTCAGGAATGCAAGTACCTGGGCGGCTATAATAGCGCCCTTGAGATCGAAGATGAGGTTACGACACCTTAAAGCAAAAGCTCGAGGTGTTTTTGCCAATCTACACCATCTGTGGCGTACGCACGACATTACTTTAGCCCTGACAGACAGAGTTTACAACGCAGCCGTCCGTTCAACTCTTCTATATGGTTGTGAAACCTGGCCCATCAGATCGACAGATATACAGTGGCTGGTCACATTCGATCATCGCTGTCTTCGCAGCTTAGCTCATGTCTGGTGGGCGCACTGCGTTAGCAATGAGCATGTTCGGCATCGCATATTCAGTGCAGGAAAAGCAAGTGAACCGCTGAGCAACATTATATCACGCACCACGCTCCGATGGTTGAGCCAAGTGTTGCGCACTCCAGCACACAAATTTCCGTGACGTGTATCGTTTGGGCGCTGGGATTGCAGTTGGAAGAGGAGGGGCGGAGGCCAAGCGATGACTTGATAGTGAGGAATGAAAATCTTCACTTCGAAACTGGCGTCGGTTGATGCATCCCGACTGCCTGACTGGAGTCCTTGGGGCCATGAACACGTTTGGTTGGACACGTTTGCTGATATGGTGGCGAGCCGCCCCAATGGCGTTTGTGTTGTGAGTTTCTATGTTCATCCCGCTCCCTTTAGGTTCCCCTCCAATCCTTATCTCATCGAATCAAACAACAATTAATCTTTTAGTCCCTTATCTTATTGCATTGCGCCACATTAGCTGAGGTGTGTTTCTAACTCCCAGTTAACGTATATAGATAATGATGATGACCTCGATTAATCCTACCCTTCTCGTCCGTGATAGGGTCTGCGCCGAGGAACAATCGACTGTTCTTATTGCGTAACTTCGACGCGCCTGTTGGACGTGGTGCCGCAGTCTGGACAAACGTTAGCGGTCCGTACGGAATCGGCATAGACAATGGGAACAGTGACCGGCTGCAATCACATTGCGCCACTCAAAGCCTGACGACCAAGAACACACAGTTTGCACTGGGTGCGAATGAGAGAGCTACTTGAACGCACCCGTGGATTGGTTACGCTCATCAGCTCGGCTACGTCATCGTATACCATCGTGATATGATTGAATTGTGTATGCCACATGTACTGCGTGGAGCTGAGCGCGGCACTGATCACAGGTTGGTGCAGACCAAAGTGTACATAAATTTTCGTAAATGGATGTACTGCACTTTCGCATGAAGCGGCAGAAATATAACGTTCTTCCCCTACGTATTGCTGAGGAGAGAATGGAACTCGAGAAGGTGATGGCTACCCACCTTGTTGATGTTGAATCTATCGCTTCACTGAGAGACTTGTGACATCACATAAGTGAACAAATGACTGATGCTGCAGAGGAAACCATCAAGCGCACAAACTGTAAGCCGCCCGATTGGTTTGATGACAATGGCGCGACTATTGGCGCATTGGTGTCGGCGAATAACGCAGCCTTCGATGCGCATGATCCGGACCCTAGCGATGCAGAGAAGAGAACTTTTCGCAAACTTTGACAGCGATTGACTCAAGAGCTCGGTCGCATCAAATACATGACGGAGGTGATGATGGAGCAGATGGAATACTAGGCTGAACGCAGCCAACTTAAGGAATTCCATGATTCCATAAAGGCAGTGTAAAGACCCACGTTGCATCAAATGAGGACGTTGCTCGATCCTATTTTATCCGCTGCCAGTACACAGATTGTAGACATAATGCGGATCTTCGAATGCACATCGATGGTCTTTTCTGATTGACTGAGCTATGTTGCACCAGCTGCAACAGCAGGAGATGATGATGTGTATTGCCGAGGCAGAAAAAATTGGATCAGCTGCGAAACGGCAATTCCGTCGGAGCCGAATTGATACAGCCTGGAGATTTGGAGCACGGCGGAATTGTGTTCGTAAATGCGCCACGCTACTTGGTGAAATGTGTGTGGATTGAAGAAGAAGTGTAGGCTGAACCAAAGGTCTTGCGCTACCACTGTATGAGGGCAAACGAAGCAAGCACTGTTGCACGAATTATCGGGTTCTCCAGCGATTCTTCGGCTGGATCTCTGACCCCTCCTGGCTCCTCTTCCTGGACATTAACATCCACATCCTCAACCGTTACATGCCCCACGGACATTGCGAGACAGGATCAACCAGCCGGCAAGAATTCCACTTGTGATGTGTCCGTCGCGTCTGCGCCAACACCAGTATTCCGCACTGTGCTACTAGCGGCCCAACAGTTTCTTACCAACTGTGCTTCTCATGCCAAGGACGAACCCTCCATGCTTCTGAATCTGGTGAGTACCTTCACTACGGATGGATTGAAGATCACGTTTAATGAGGCCGTAAACGATCTCCATGTCACCTTCTTTCCATGCAGATGGGGGTCCTTATGAAAACGCGCGCGTGCTGTTACGATTCAAAACAATCAACACCGGCGACGACTTCAATATGATCATATACCACCTCTATTTGATACCCGCCGGAAAGCTGTTGCAAGTACGGTGCTTGACGAAAGATGGCGCACCGTCTATCTTAATAAGGACGAGGAGGTGCCAGGCTTCACGAAATTTTGAGAAAATGTCCTCTCCATACCTCCTGCTAATGGTGAACGCGCACCGCGCCGATTGCTTCCAGCTAATGACGACTAGGTTAAACCAATTATCCTAGAGGGGATGCAAAATATTCTCAAAATGATGCGGGCTTCGGCTCCCATTGTAGACCGCATCAGGCCCACTGGCGTTGGAAGGATGGATCCATACTACGTAGCTTCTTTTCGCAACTGAATTCGTGCGTCCTGCTTACTTCCCATCCACGTGAAAATACCCAAACTCTCCCAGCCAACATCCAATGATAAATTCCGTCCAGTCTCCGTTTCATCTGTCTTCACACGCCTCCTCCATCGTATACACTTTGTACGTTGGATCCCGGCATTCCCTACCGAACACCGTCAGTTTGGTCTTCTTTGTAAAGAAGGATCTTCCGAAGCCCTAGCCACACTGCATGCTTCTCTTTGCCATTTTACTCATCTCGTACTCCTCCTTTTATTTGCGGCAGCGGATATTATGAAACTGTTCGGTTCCATTTCTCACCACTCCTTACTTCGAGCCGCAGCTGCTTTCGGAGCTCCGCTGCTACTGCTGGATTACATGACAACCCATTACAGCTCCGCGTCCTCAATCTTTGATGACGGTTAGCTTCATCCAGATAAGGTGGTCCAGCAAAAAGATCCGTTTCCTCTTTTGCTTTTCATAATGTCCCTCGGTGAAGTTTTACACGGAGTCGCCACCTCGCTTTGGATATCATCGGCTGGCCCGATTGATTACCTCGGTTATGCGGACGATGTGAGAAGTTTTGCGCAAGAACGCATTTTACTCGGGGTCCACCTTAAACGATTCCATCAACGATTGCAATGCGTCGGCCTCAGCATCAATCACCTAAAGTGTTTCTCAGTAAATATAGTTGTTGACGGGGCTCGCAAACGGACCATTTTGGATACGAATGCTTCAGACTGTTGCCATCTTTTATTCCCTCTATTCAGCCAGAGGAAAGGTCTAAGATGTTGGGCCTGCCTTTTAACTGGAAGGGTAAACTCCCTCCAGTCGTGGTTGACGACATTACTGCGCAAGTTGACGAAGTTACTGAAACACCTCTTAATTCACAGTAACGACTGGAGATGCTGAGAACTTATCTGCTACGAAACATGTTCGCCACTTAGATTTTACAATAGTTCCTCGGAATACATTGAAGCGGATAGGTCTCCTTGTCAGGTCGCAAGTCAGAAAGTGGCTGGGTTTGCCGTCAGACACCTCAATTGCATAAATGCACGCTCTCAGTGAGCATTTTGGTCTGTATATTCCCTGTCTGTCCACGAATATTCCTCTCCTGCGGAAGGAGAGACTGAAACGGCATCTTGACAATTGTCATGCAGTTACCAGATTGTCGGTCCGAAACTCTGTAACCGCTGCCATCCATCGTCTAGCGCGTTCTACTGATACCATTGGTAATTGCGCCGTCATGGATAAATACTCAGTTGCGGTAGCCTGGCGAGATGTTTTCTTCGCTTCAGTGGATGGCACTCCCTTACGAAATGTAGTCACTACACCTTCCGCACACCACTGGCTAAGGGCCACCACCAGGATTTCCCACGTCTTTTCATTTAATGTGCCCGACTACGGGGGGTGTTCTTTCTACCAAAAGACGACGAAGCAGAGGCAGAGCTACAAATGACCCGGCTCCTCTCAACTGCCGCGGAAGCTGTGGAGAAAAGGAGACTGTTGTGTCCCCAGTGGTTCGACTTACCTGCTCCTTAGGTTGCGCTACCCAAGTCAAAAGACAACGCACTGGACAGGAAGTATATTTGCGAAATACTGCGCGGGCCGACGTGGGTATAAAAACACTCTGATTACAGTTCAAATCAAGGCTGAGTGCTAATTTGAATTTATCGATCTCAAAGAATCACGGGACGTGTGAGTGGTATGAAACAAGCGGTAGTAACAAAGGTTCTGCAACACAGCAATACTCTAGTCTGCAGTCATGAACGGCTACACAAGCATATCTGTGTTTTTCTTGCACCTCTAACAGAGACTCTGTCTCACACTCTTCGGGCGTGTTGCATCACGCATAATGTCCGCTGTAAACATCACAACGAAATTGCGTAACAGCTTGCGAGGCAACTGCTGCACCGAAGTACTAACATTGTTATGGAGCCGAGGATACCGACCGCCACCTCATTCAGCAAACCAGACTTGCTTGCGCTTAAACATTCCACAACTCACATTGTGGATGTAGTCATTTGTGACGGGTACCGAATGGAATGTATGTACAAATTGAAAGCGGATAACTATGTGTCAGTGGGGAATGCAACAGCCATATCGCGATATATACGAGAACAATCTCCTGTGACGAGGAATATTATTCACCACCCAGACATTATCAGTAAACGAGAGCTGTTATACTCCACTTCAGCCAAACGGCTTACTGCACTCGGATTGACATCACTTGAAATCTCTGACCACTGTGTTTCGACGCTTCATCTTACTCAGCAGGTGTAAAACGCCTACATGCGAGACGCTTTATCACGCCTTACATAACATACATCCCATCACACACGGTGACAGTTGACGCGATTCCGACCACTGTTTGGTGTTGTTATTGCAATCAGCGTTTCCTGTTATGCCAGGACATTTGTCCCCTCTTGGAATATTGTCGTATAGCTCAGCCCTTGGACCATGCATGCAAATGTCAAGAATACACATTAATGGCATCGTCTTGCTGCGTTGTGTGGGGAAGGTGATCGACTGAATCCTGTTCAATCGCCTCGTCACCCAAGTCGTTGAACTGAAAGTGGCGAAAGAGCAATGTGGATTCCGTTCAGGCCGCGGTACCATAGATATAGTGTTCGCGGTTCGTCAATTGTAGGAGGAACGCAGAGAGCGACACCAGCCATTGGATTCGCTGTTTGTAGGCTGCACCAAGGAATTTGACGTGATGAACTGTGACGCATTTTAGATGGTGTTGACTAAATTTGGTTGTCCGACTAAGTTTGTAAGTTTAATTGAATGTCTGCACAGTGTTGTGCCGATGAGGGTCCACTTGAGTGGACAAGCCTCAGATGATTTTGCAGTTGTCTCTGATTTGAAGCAATGTTGTCAGCCTCTAACCTGTTTAATATTTAACCTTCATGCATTGGTGTGCGTTTGATGCGGTTTGTGCTTACGGTGTTCGTGTGGAACACCGTATTGATGGTGGGTTGCAGAACATCCGCTGTTTCGGGGTGAGAACCCTAGTGTGTGAGACAACCATCTGTATGTTACTGATCGTGGACAACTGCGCGTTGTTTGCATATTGTGCACATGAGTTGCAGCGGTGATGTGCGGCCACACCAGCAACATACTCAAGACTGTGTCATTTTCAGCCTACTCCCGCAATGGAATACTTTGCTCTGATCAAATCCACATTGAGAACGACACTTTGGAAACGACCTCGAGAATCTACTACCTTGGGACCGTGCACTCGACAGACCTCTAAATGATGAGTAAGCTGCGCATCTGCATATCAAAGCAGGCTGCTGCGTATGGCAAATTAGTGAAACGTGTGTGTGGAACAACCATCATCTTACAACCAAAACGAAGCTGCTGGTGCTGTCTGTCCTTCTATATAGCAGCTAACCGCGGACAAGGTGAGATAACTTGATCGGTTTCATCAACAGTGTGTGCGGCGGATTCGGTGCATCGGTTGGTGCGACGGAGTTGCAGCCACGGAAGTGCTGCACCGCAGTGGCATGTATGCAGTGGACTGCATAGTTCTGCTGAGGTACCTGAGGTGGCTAGGTTATGTCAGCCGCATGGATTCGAAGGAGATACTTAATCAACTGTTATATGGACAACTTAGGGCAACGAAACGGCAGGTTGGAAAATCGTCTATGTTACCAGGATATGATCAAGGTGAGTTTATCACGAACTAATGTTGTTTTCAGATATTGGGAACCAAAGACTGTGGATTAGCGTCAGTGGCGTGAGCTTATCAGTTGAGCCGTTGCTCAGGTACAGGAGAAGACACTGCAGCATGCGGAAGAGAAACGCCGACTATAGAAGCGACGGGCGCGGATGGAATTTAGACCATCGACGCCGAGTGCATGGTGTTGTAGCACATATAATCACGAGTGCCTGAGTCAACCTGGTCTGGTAAGCCAGCAGCATGGGTCCAACAGCCGAAGTACGACGAGTTAGCCGAATATCTAATCAACATCAGCTCGATGTTCGAAATTACGCTGCGTCGGTTCCACTTAATTTATCAGCGCAGGCCACTAAGGCAGTTGATGTGGTACTTGTGCTACATCATTGTTGTAGTTGTTCTGTACGTGTGCATGCGTGTTGAGATCCTCGCACTTAAGTTGTTAGGTGTTGATTGATAGCACCGCTGTGACTACGCTTGATGTGAATGCTGACAGGGTGCTTATCTGTCTAGCATCCTGCACCTCGATTATACTGGCTCCAGCAGACTGTGAATCGTTGCTGGGGGGAAGGGGTGCCCCGTTCTCATTACGGTGCTAGGTTCAATAAAAGTGGTTTACATGTCCCAATTGCGGACTATGACCCAGCCAGCGTCTTCTGTACGTCTGGTACGCATGGTTTCCCAAGTAGGAATGAATGCTTTCACTCCGCCTGTTGAAGGAGTGTGGACCGGCTCCGTTGATGAAGTGTAGCTCTCATTCACTTGCGTTCCTATTTTATTCCTTCCGGTTTACACTAGATACGGGGTGTGTGGATGGAGCTGTAGGTGGTGCAGCGCAAGTTATCCATATTCCAAGTATAGGCGCAGGCGTCCTATGGCTGTCCTACGGACGCCAAATTGACACTCTAATCCGCAACCGGATGCCGTTAGCCATGTTGCGTTGTGGGACAGAAACATGAGCGATATATGCGCGCGCGCCTAACAGCTTGATTAACAGTGGCTGCGTTCTATAAAATTGTAATTTACTGCCGCTTCGTTCGTAGTACATGGATGCCGTGACCATTCAGAATGAAGTTGACTGGCCAACACGGTTTGCTTAGTGTTATGTGGAAGTTCGGTTCGAGGAGTCTGAAGTTACCTCAGCATAAAAGAATGTCGAAGACGATGTCAACTGACTGACGGCCTTGAGCACGTTATTGACTGGCAGACCAAGACGATGTACTTATTGAGTCGGAAAGTCAAAGCCGCTTACGTGGTTCTGAGATGAAGTCGGCGCTGTGTGCAGAATTCTGAAGGAAATCGACCGGCAACAGGAGTTGGAGCAATTTCACCCTGCAAAATGGGAAGAGCAAGAGGAACTGATGGTGTTTTTCCAGAGGCTGAGCAGACGCCTGGTGACTGGGCTTCCCTAGTTAGGTGTCACTGGAAGAGAACTATTGTTGAGAGCGCACCTCATCCGAAGACTGCCTAGCGAAATCCGGGGTAGACTGAAATTGGCATCGATGCTTGGAGTCAATAGGGTGGAGGAGCTGGTGACGGTAGCCCAAATTTTATCAGAGGTTGTCACTTTACGTAGGATCCAACCTTCGGAGCCGGAACGGAATGCAGATTGGCTGACACAGATGGAAAAAAGCTGACTTAGAGGGATACCATGAAGGAGGTGACAAAATGCAACGAACATGAAATCCAAGATGATCGTCGCTGTTTTCGATGCAAACATGTAGGTCACGTTGCCCGGTTTTGTACTAACAGAAATAACTATCGTTGTTTCTCCTGGTCCCTGCTGATTAGGTGGATAGTACCTGTCCTCGAGATAATTATTGTAGGGGTGTTCGTCTATGCCATAGCGACCACAGGAGCAGGGGTTTACATTTCGAGAAATTTCCATGGGGTTCCGTTAACTCAGTCATCAATTCCAAAGCAGACGGTCGGAGGACATCGCTTGAAGGTGACGGGGACACAGCAATTGAAAGATGGGATAGGAGTAACACTTAGCAACCATTCGATGTTCGTCGTGGAGGGGGCCAAGGAAACAATAGTCGAGAATGATATCCTCAAGCGACTCGGAACCAGACCTGGTTTGAGAAGTGAGGTGACAATTCTGGGCGACGAAACAATCAGGATGAGCACATGACAATTCAACTGAATGGGTGTCTTGAATGTTCAACCTTATTGCCCAACTCGCACAATACAGAATTAGCTGCGGAGGTATTCGCACTTGTTCACGGATGTGCACGCTGATTAGGGGTTCTGCAACTGGTTAGAACCCCGGATACCTTTAACCTTAGGGGGAGAGTGCAAGCCATTTTACAGAAGAGTGCTACAAAATACCCTGTCGGAGGTAATATAAACTGGTGGCAGAGATTGGGAATAAGGGTATCATTAGGAGAACGAACAGCCCGTATTCATCGCTGGTCCTAATGATAAAAAGTTCGACGGAATCTAAAGAGTCTGCATTGATTTAAGAGGGTTAAACAGAGTGACGGTGAAGTACGCATTTCCGATGGCGCAGAAAGAGGAATTTTTTCAAATCATAACGTAAAGCAAATTTCCTTGCCAGTTCTCCGTTTGGGATACTGACAACTTCCCACTGCAGATCTTCCTAAAACAGCTTTTAGTGTAAACAGCCAGCAGTATGAATTTTTGAGGACAGCATTTCGATTGCACATTACTCCTTCTAGATTCAGATGCCTGCTACTGAGGTTTCTGGAGAATCTTCAAGGAGTGGTGGTCTATGCAGATGATAACCTTATTTTCTCAGAGGCAAAACAAGAACATGGCGCTATACTCGCAGCTGTACTGCAAAGACTAGAGAAAGCCGGTTTAAAACTAAGTCGCAGAAGTCTCAACTCGCCCAAACGTCTATTCTGGGTCGGGGTCCCAATTTACGGAATGGTAAAGTGCAACCACTCCCGGAGAAACGCGAGACGATCAAGACTTTCACAGTTTCGTAATTCAGACTTCAGCTCCGTGCGTTTCTGAGAGTGGTGGCATATGCTACTAAATTTGTGTCTCATTTTGTAGAGATGATCAGCCCGTAACTTAAGCTGCTCCACAAAGACACACCGTTCATTTGGTCATGGGAAACGGGGCAGGTATCCAAGTACCTAAAGTTGTGCGTAGCAAAGGATTTATGTTTGCGCATACCCTAGCCGAGTAAGAGGTTCATTGTGGCTGTCAACGCAAGCATCGTTGTAATCGCCGCGATTCCGTCCCAACCAACTGGGATGATGGAATATTGCAGTACAGTGTTAACGGGCGCGGAGCAAAAGTATTCTCTGACCTGAAGGGGATGTCTTGCTATAGTGTGGGCCTCGGAGAAGTGGAGAACCTACGAATGTGTTCCATATCATCTCTGACCACAAACCTCTCTCATGGCTGATGACGATGAAAGAGTCAAGGGGGCTTCTTGTACGGTGGGTCTACCGTCTTCAAAAATTCACCTTTATCGTCCAACACAAATATGGAATAAAGAACGTACTATCTGACATGCCACAAAAACGAGCGAGGACAGAAAGTGGCACAGGTGTCATGAATGAGATCGAACGGCGCAACACAAGCCCCATGCACTCAGTGTGGAGCGGACTACGGTCCAGCCACCGCCTTGTGTGCCATTGATTCCCCAAATACAGCGTGCTTGTGTTTGCCTGTGCAGGAGTGTGTGTCGGCTCCGTTGATGAAACGTGGCTCCCATCCACATGCC